AAATTTACTAGCTTTGAGTTGGTTCAAATTTGAGCTGGTTCAAATTACTAGCTTTGAGCTGGTTCAAATTTACTAGCTTTGAGTTGGTTCAAATTTGAGCTGGTTCAAATTACTAGCTTTGAGCTGGTTCAAATTTGAGCTGGTTCAAATTTACTAGCTTTGAGTTGGTTCAAATTTGAGCTGCTTCAAATTTACTAGCATTGAGTTGGTTCAAATTTGAGCTGGTTCAAATTTACTAGCTTTGAGCTGGTTCAAATTTGAGCTGGTTCAAATTTACTAGCTTTGAGCTGGTTCAAATTTACTAGCTTTAAGCTGGTTCAAATTTACTAGCTTTGAGCTGGTTCAAATTTACTAGCTTTGAGCTGGTTCAAATTTGAGCTGGTTCAAATTTACTAGCTTTGAGTTGGTTCAAATTTGAGCTGGTTCATTCGCCAATCAAACCTCGTCGACTCTCATCCAACCGGCTCTTGTTCTTGTTTGACCGCGGGGCACGAGAGTTGGATTAGGTGAATCATATCATGGATGATTATCGTCTAGAAAATGACCACGATATTCGAGAGATTGTACAAGAGAGTTGAGAAAACTCTCATGCAAACTCTCTCGCTTATCAACCAATGTGATCAACTCCTATCATTGTTTGATCGCGGGGCTATAGACGCGTTAGCATATATTCCGTAGTTTCCCGTTGAATTTTCTAAGAAAAAGACTGGAGGAATCTTATAACTGATGTAAAAAAATTATAATCTCATCCGTACGTTTTCCATCGAAAACATGTGCCCCCAAACCTTAAAAAACACACATTATTAATATTAACTGGGTCTTTTTTGTAATTATATAACGTAAATATATTTTTAACTTTAATGAAAACACAACAGAATTGTTTGTTTACTTTCGCTATCAGAAGCGGTCAAACATACGTAAAAAAATTCCTTGAAATACGTAATCTAGCATTTCAACTCACGTATATATATATGCATACGAAAAATGATATATTCGGTTGTTTGCGCTGAAACCAACTTTAATTATACTGGATAGCTACATGCAGGTCCAAACTGTGTATCGCCGAGGTCCATTAAGGGCCACCCCAATATCGTTCCAGACTTCCAGTGTTACTACAGCAGGAACTCGAAAGCACGCGAAGAAAACCTGTGGTGTTTCGGGTAGAGTCGAACTGGAAACACACTTCACACATGTGAAGGAGATGAAATCATATAATGGCATCCCAGAGTTAGAATTGAGAGGTACATGGATTAACCACTGAGCCATAAATTTCAACATTCTCCGAGTTCATTACCGAGCCATGCACACGAAAACAGGTTTTCTCTAAAGCCGGAAATAAATATTTGCTATTGACAAAATACTTTACGGTTGAATATTGTATATTTGATGTATTTCAACACAATCAATGTGGCAGTCTCCTGCTGAACGCCCTGTTAACTATTCTTCCTTCATTCAATTACGAACGTCAAAGAATTTAAGTGTATAGCTACATCAAAACAGTAAATATACGTTGACTGTTGTTGACGTTGAGTGTTATTGATAGTCGCAGATCTGTTTGTGTTCTCGAGTTAGTCTGCGAGTGGCGAAGCATTTGGACGAGCAAGTTAGGTTTGCTTTAGAGATTTTTAAGGTAAGAAATAGGATTTTGAACGGAATGTTAATACAAAGAAGAAACATATTTTTTATTGCATTCCATACTCCGTATATACCCTGAGGTGTTTTGAAAATGTATCATGTATTTGAGACGGGCAGGTACCGTTGTTAGTGCTTGTGTTAGGTTTAGTTTAGGTTTTCTTTTGTACAATAGATCAATAAAAGATAACCCTTACTCCAGCTCTTCTAGGAAGAATAGTTTCGAAGTTATAGAGGTATATCCAGTGTATAAAGGTTATCGGTTTCCTCCTGTACTAACATCAATAAGGGATGATCGTTACTGGACCTCTAGGAATTGTTTCGAATCGATAGAGGTATCCACTATAAATAAAGTTAGCTTAGTTTAGGTTTCCTCCTGTAGTAATAGATGACACTTATCTGTACTAGACAGTTTGGAAGTGATAGAGCTAGCCAGTATAAATACGGTTAGGTTTCTTCCTGTAGCAACATTGGATCAATAAGAGATGATAGAGCTATATCCATGCAGTATAAATAAAGTTATAGTTTAGTTTAGTTTAGGATTCCTCCTGTAGTAACACTGGATCAAGAAGAGATGATACTTACTGGACCTGTAGGAAGAACAGTTCCGAACTGATAGAGCTAGCCAGTACAAATAAAGTTATAGTTTAGTTTAGTTTAGTTTAGTTTAGTTTAGGTTTGCTCCTGTAGTAACACTGGATCAAGAAGAGATGATCGTATACTGGGCCTCTAGGGAGAACAGTTTAGAACTGATTAGAGCTATCCAGTATAAATAAAATTAGTTTGGTTTATAGGTTTTAAAAACATTATAAATTGCTTATGAGCGATGCCTATCTATGGAGAACAGTTTACAACTGATAGACTATCCAGTATAAATAATTAAGTCAGTTTACTTTTGGTGTTAACCCAGTCATGGCTACCCCTTCTTTTCTCGATAGCAAGAATGCAAATCGAGTATAATAAAGTTGTCTGTACATGGCAACGTCACAGCGAGGACTCATTAACCCACTAACATCCCAAGACGCAGACGATATAGGGAACAGATAACGTTAATAGATTTGTAAGCTAATACCCCCGGACGGATTTTAATTCACTTGCAAAACCGACAAGATATAGTTTAGTGGAAAACATAAAACCGTTACTTTGAATTAAAAGCTGGAATTCGTCAAGGTATGTAGTTCATGTCCTGTGCAATATAATAGAATGATAGATAAAGTGGGATTATATTTGGCGGTTTTTTCTGATATTAATTTATACATGAATGTTTTATAAATTGTAGAAAATTGATATAAGCTAATACTTCAAATCCTTGATACAAATTAAGCGTTGTGTACGGACGACTAATTACGCATAGCTTAAATTGAATGTATTATGACTAGAAAATACACACTTTCTACGAAATTGAATGGTGTTTTATGTTGTTCTATATACATAGCTACTTCATGTGAAACTCGTAAAAATTGTGAAATATTCTAATGCTTACAATTCCTGCTAAAAATGCATATCATTGATTACGCACGGGGATAAGCTAATTAAATATAAACCTGCATAAACCTGCAGTATATTATAATTTTTTTTGAAAGCATTTGGCTCAACTTTATAGTTCATAAAATATAAACGATTTGTATAGGATTATTCTAAACAAGGATTAAATATCATTTTTAATTTGAACATCAAAACTGTGACTGACACAAGAACGTGTTAATTGACTTAATTGCATATTTGTACAATTTAAATCGTTCCATGTTTGTCAAGATTTGAACTCATGCATGCCATAACTATCTTATTATATGCTATTTTAATACTTTGTTGGGGAGAGACAGTCAACCATGAGACCGCTGCATGTACGAAGTATAAAAGCTGGGCAAAGCAAAAACAAATTCGAGAGATAATTCTTCCGTTCTGTCTTCCTATACTTGAGGTCGCTATAGTGGAAATCATGCAAGCTCTAGCCTCTCTAATACTATAGATTGTGCGCTCTTTATTTTATGGTATTCAGAGAATGCTGTGCGCATCATGTGTAATTTATAAGAAATATTTTTCATAATTTAGTGCATGGGAACATGACCTCAAACACGAAACAATGCTCATATCATATATCTTATAAGTATATAATTTGAATTCTCGATCACATATTGCAGGGTGCGATAAATCGCGCACTTGCGTTCGGGAGGCGCGCCAGTATTACGGTCTGGTTCTTCGTAATTTGTTTCAGTTGGAAAAAAAGTGAAATCCATACTACGAAATTTGCAATTGCACGACAAAATCCATAGTATATCCATCCTATTTCGATACTATACCCACACTATGGAAATATACAATTATTATGGATAACCAAAATCCATTCTATTTCCAATAAAGGTCCATATAATTTCCATTCTATGACCTTCTATGGATTTTCAAATTTTTTCCCATGTATTTTTTCCCTAATTTTTTCCAAAGTAACCATGTAGGTACCAAGCACCCGCATATAGGTACTTGCATTTTGCTGGTACTATAGGATTTTACCAAGCCCAAGTTATTCAAAACCGTATACGTAACCGTATAAAGTAGGTACGTCTGACATGTCTTGGCATGAGACATGACTGGACTGATCGAACTAAGCCTAAGGAATGCTCGAGCCAATTCTAGTGTTTGTGTACTGTCCTTCTCGTTCTAACTGATAGAGTCAGGTTACTGAATGGATACTTTCAGAAACTTGTACTTTATGTACATCATTTCAAACATTATAACGCCTGTATTCTAAAAGCTCACTCACATTCAAAGAGTGGAGGTTCAATCTGAGCTTCCCTCGAGTGTCAGTGCTGTTTTTGAATAGCTGGAGGGTTAGTGTCGTACCTTACTATGCGACTACTCACCCTCCAGCTATTCAAAAACAGCATTGACACTCAAGAGAAGCTCAGATTGAATCTCCACTCATTGAGCGTGAGTGAGCTTTTTGAATACAGGCGTAAGTACACCTTGATGTACCAGCTCATGCAAATCCGAGGTAATAATCGTCCGAGTACCAGTCAGGTACACAAAAACTCCTCAAATTATCGTACCCAGACATATCTGCGGCAGCCTTCGGGATACTGTAAGTTAAACTCGTTCTATAGCACACAATCAATCGAGAACTATAACCAACATCATCCTAGCTCTTTTAATTTAGGATGCTGCCATAGGTATGACATGGATCTCGTTATTCTAATTCTGCTAGTTTATCAGTTTCAAAAAAGTATTTATTTAAACTTTCCGAATCCTGTGGGGAAATTTTGACAAGATTTGAACAGCGATAGCCTTAGAATGGAACAATGTAAAACGGGTAAAAAGGTTAAAGGCGGAATTAGTAAAAATTGCGCTCTAAAAATATATTCATTCATAAATTTTCTAATCTTTTGGGAAAATTTTGACAAGATCTGAATTGCGATAGCATTGGACTGCAACAATGCAGAAACGGAATTAGTAAAGAGTATGTTATTAATTGAACACCGCGTGTCTGCTTTCTATCAGTGCAAAAATTAAAGGGATTAAGAGAACATATTCCCCCATACTGCTGCATGGGTGTGCCTAATATGTGTTTGTGTTTGACAATAGACCCATTGCACTAACGTCACAAATCCTTAGAGTGTCCTCCAGATGCTCCCTAACAATATCTGTTCGGGTACAACAACCACATACAGCGCAAAAATTGACCATTTTAATACAAAATTATTATAAAGTTTTGCAAAATTTGCTTTGTTTACAAAAATTATATTATGCATAGATTGCTAATTTGTCCTCCAGATGCATCGTCGCCGGCGCTGTGACGTCATGTGCAATGGGTCTATACTCGTAAAGATAAACAAAAACGGATGTCTAAGAGTGCGTCACAATGAATAGAGCCATCTGATTAACCGTTTGAAAATTTTATCATTTTAAATCTCTTTTTTTAATTTTTAGAGAAAACTTATGGACGCATCAAACATCACCACCACACCATCATTCACCCCTTCTACCCTCTATCCAACCCTAAATACCACCTTCAATCCCAACACGACCCTCAATGAGAGCGGCACAAGCCCCACAGCCCCTAACATTATATTCCTAACCTATGTTGGTATACTCGTCTGCATCATCACATTCGCGTTGCTAGGCAACCTAGTCGTGATCATAGTGTTCCTCTTCGATCGAAAACTACGGGTATCATCAAACTATTATATATTCAGCCTTGCTGTTGCAGATGTCATCACCGCGGCATTGGTAATTATTTCACTTAGTTCGCACATAATCATATACTGACAATCTTGGGAAATAATTTGACTCGTCAAGAGGAGAGCACAGGTGCTCATTGCTCAATGGGCTAATCAGACTACCTTATTATAGGAAATTAACGATGCACTTTATTAACGTGGATTTTAAAAATTCGCGTTAATTTAATTAATGTTAATTTATGTGATCGTTAATTTTAAGTATGTAATTTTCATTTATCGTTAGTGTTATATAAAACAAATCTAGGTATTTTTGACTAACTCTTTTAATATCAAAATACAGCATATTAACGTAAACTAAAAATATCAGTGCTCCTCTTAACATTAAACCTTTGTTGTTGTTGTGTCTATATTTTCCGATTCGCGTTAATTTAATTAATTTGCCAGCCAAAGATCAGATTCGCGTTAATATAATCATGTTTTAAAAGACCTAGAAGCAATCCGCGTTAATTTGATGTCGCGTTAATTTATGTCGCGTTAATAAAGTCCATCGTTAATTTCCTATAATAAGGTATTTGCCCATGTGTCTAGTTAATAACCAGCAAAAAAAATGAATAATTGTTGTGTGCTTTAATTACAACTCCAGGGGCCGGTTGTTCAAAGGTGGGTTAGCGCTAACCCTGGGTTAAAATTAAACCTGCTGTTTTAGTTTGTCTATTTCTGGTCGTCTGTTTATTTCAAGAATTCAGAGAAGTAAACTCCTATCGATCCAGACAACAAGATCTCTGAAGAAATATTTTCAAATTTATAGACAAGCTGTCAGGAAGTTTGCTTTGAATTTTAGGTTAACCTAGGGTTAAGTTAACCCAGCTTTGAACAACCGGCCCCAGGATGCGATCATTCAAGATTTCTAGTCGTACCTGACTGGTACGCTAATGGTTGTTGCCGCGTACTTGCGCTAGAACAAATTCAGTACTCAATGCTCAATGTGTACTTAGTCTTCAAAAACTCATTAATAATTCATGAACCAATTATCCAATCTTGAGTAAGAAATTAGTCACGTGCATACGTCTTTATACCAACTAAAGAACACTTTAACAAAAGACCATTGTTATGCAAACTATATAAAGATTTTTATATAAAGATTTTTATATAAAGATTTTTATATAAAGATTTGACTTATTATGCATACGTTTTTGAAGTCATTTAAAAAACTCGCGGGTCGTGTTTTTTAGGTCTAAAGCCACTCGCGCTGCGCGCTCGTGGCTTTAAACCTAATAAAACACTCCTGCTCGTTTTTTAAATAGTACTTTAAAGATAAGGTTCATAAAGTACAGGTTTCTGAAAAGTATGTTCAGACTACGAGATAGCAAACGGAGTTTTGCTATTTGAAAAGGGAGTTTTTCTATTTGAAAAGGGAGTTTTGCTATTTGAAAAGGGAGTTTTGCTATTTGAAAAGAGAGTTTTGCTATTTGGAAAGGGAGTTTTGCCATTTGAAAAGGGTGTTTTGCTATTTTAAAAGGGAGTTTTGCTATTTGAAAAAGGTGTTTTGCTATTTGAAAAGAAAGTTTTGCTATTTGAAAACGGAGTTTTGCTATTTTAAAACGGTGTTTTGCTATTTGAAAAGAAAGTTTTGCTATTTGAAAACAGAGTTTTGCTATTTTAAAACGGAGTTTTGCTATTTGAAAACGGAGTTTTGCTATTTGAAAAGGGAGTTTTGCTATTTGAAAAGGGGCTTTGCTATTTAAAAAGGGAGTTCTGCTATCTGAAAAGGGAGTTCTGCTATTTGGAAAGGGAGTTTTGCCATTTGAAAAGGGTGTTTTGCCATTTGAAAAGGGAGTTTTGCTATTTGAAAAGGGTGTTTTGCTATTTGAAAAGAAAGTTTTGCTATTTGAAAACGGAGTTTTGCTATTTGAAAAGGCAGTTTTGCTATTTGAAAAGGGTGTTTTGCTATTTAAAAACGAAGTTTTGCTATTTCAAACAACCGACTCCAACGTTTCTTAGTGCCATCAGTGCAATCATGTTTCATGCCAAGACATCTCAGACACATGATATACCAACTAAATTACGGTATTGAATACCTTGGACTTGGAAAGGTCATGTGGTACCACCAAAAAATAAGTACGCAGATAGCAAGAATTCCGCGTACCTACGTGGCACGTGGCTGAAAACAAAGAAGTACCAGACAGTAACATTGGCGTACCTCCGGTACGTAAGTACGCGAATTATCGCACCCTGTCAACTCAAGTTGTAAGCAGGTTGCATGCGACAGTTTTAGACAAAATTGGGGAATAGCAAATCGGTCTTCGATATACCGGTACAGTGATAGATCCAACATGATCTGGAGGGGGGGGGGTGCTCTGCTAACTCTGGTGCACAGTTGTGTCGGTCACATGCCCCGCCCACCATCAACATACAACAGTACTTGCTTGACTACTGTATTTGAACTATAATTGTTATTCACAGTTGGCTTATCATTATGTTATTACTCATTTATTTGTCTCTAATATATTTTTGCTTTATCATAAAAAATAGCAATGCCCTCCCCCCCCCCCCCCCCCTGCATTGCTATATGATTAAAATAAAAATCAATTCAAAACTTTTTTGAAGGTGATGACATTCGAAGTGGACCAATGGCTTAACAATCTTAAATGGCGCTACAGCAGAGTTTTATGCAAAGCGTGGACGACCGCTTACCTCTTCACAGTTCCCGTCTCCATCCTGACCACCTGTCTCTCAAGCATCGACCGTTGGTACGCTATATCAAGACCTCTACAATACAGAACAAATAGAAACGGCTTAAAACACAAGGCACTCGTGGCCATCATTCTGATATGGATTTATAGTATCTTGTTTGCTCTTTTACCGGAGTTCGGGTGGAACCCCCCGGGGGCAAGTCACGGGGTGAAAGAAGACTCGCCATATTGTTTCTTTGATATCTACATAGAATACTCGATCCTGAGTTCAGTACTACATTTTATTCTTCCTTCTCTCGTAACGGCATTTTTTTACTATAATATGTTTAAAGCAATGAAAACGCACACCATGCATCGACGAAGGATGTCAAGCGGTTCCGACTGCTCTCATGCACGTGGCCCCTCTCAAACAAAAAGAACAACAAATCAAAGAAAAGAACAACGCATAAACTTCCGTCATAACGTGAGCTTAGCTAAAAGCTATGCCCTGATTGGCTCCTTGCTCATTCTCACATGGTGTCCGCATTCGATCATCAGTATAATGCAGAACACGTGTTATTATAATCAGTCAAGGAGTTATGGCTGTGGAAATATAATGGACATTAGTGACGACACAGTCACCAGTTTCCTGCTGTTGGGATATTTTAATTCGGCTTTAAATCCAATTGTCTACGTCCTAAGATTTCGACAGTTCAGGTTGACGCTGATGGAATGTGTAACTTGTAAGAAACATTGACAGTGCGGCGATGGTCTCCTACCATTGTACAGGGCTGCTGAGAGGGGCATTTCCCCCTGGGTCCCCAGCTCTTTGAAATAAGGCCCCCCCAAAGCATTTAAAATTTCTTCATACAAGATTGCTTAAATAAGACTATAGAAAATTCTCAGTGCTGGATAATATGTAATAAAATATAATATACTGTAAAACATGTACTGCTTGTATATTGTAAGACATGCCGTTACTTTGGGGGTTTTATGCTTTACTGCACCCCCGCTCTCACCCACTATCAGGACTTAACCCCCCCCCCCCCCCCCCCCCCCCCCCC